TTTGCACAGACGTGGCCGCCCGTGGGATCGACATCCCCGACGTGGCCTGGATCGTACAGTTCGACCCGCCTCAAGACCCTAGCTACTTCGTGCACCGGGTGGGGCGCACGGCGAGAGCCGGGAAAAAAGGTGCTTGCATTTTTGTTTCTGTTCATTTCTTCTACTTTTCTCTTATAATTACGCAATATATCCACCTCTATTCATGGAAAATACAGAAATCCAAGATAAATTAGCAATGAATCCATAGTGTTACCGGAGGCACTACCTGTCGCTCTGTCTACTTAGTACTTCTGCATTTTTTGTCCTCTGATGTTCTTGTATGTTGTTTTCCCTCTTTTCTAGTATTTTGTTCTGTTAACTTGTTTGTTTCGCCGCGCGGCGTGGACACACGCTAATGAACTGATTTGATGAAAACACACACCCAGAGAGCTTAGTGCTTGTCCGGCAAGAATGGAGACTTGAGAGATCTAAGACCTTGTTTTTTGGCGCGCACCCCGTGCAAAATTTCAAAAGGTAACCCTCGCCGATATTTTGCTTGTTTTGTTCTCTCTAGCTGTTTCGCTCAACGGAAAGTACAGGGGGAAAGGATCGGAGTTTCGTCGTTGTTTTTTTTCGTATATTTCAAATGTTGGTGTGGGGAAAACGGAGAAAACAAATTTCTCGAACGATGGCACACGATACATAAACCCATCATGCGTTTTACCAGCGAGGCGCTTGTTTGGGGGTTTGGCGCGTACTTGTGTTTTCCTGTTCCCCAAGCCTCCGGTGGTTTGTGGAAATGCCTGATGTCCCCAACAGTCGCAAAGTTCCCCCGTTGTGGTAGCACGTGGCGGTGTTTCGTGTGTGTTGCTTCTCCCGGCAAGCTACACCTAAGGGTTCCGCTAACGCAAACCCCTTGTTCCGCCGAGTTGGTTGTAGGCGTTGTTGTTGTTGTTGTCTGCTTTGTTGTTGTCGTCATATTAAACAAACCGTTCCGGTCTCCGCTCACCCAGAACCTTCTAATGTGCAACCTTAAATTGATCGGTAATGAAAGGAATATCCGTTCTGGTCCAATTGACGCGGACGCCTTCCGTGGTCACAGGCTATCTACCCTAAAATAGAGGTACACCTTTCTAGTGCTTCGGATAAATTTCGCGACAAGTTGTTAGACCCCCGGTTCACATCGTGCGCGTGTGTGAAGCGCTGCTGTGTCGCATTTCGCTTCGTGATGCGAGCCCCTTCGCAGTCGGTCAATACCTTGATCAACATCACCACCGAGACGCCTTTTTGTCACGCGCGTGTCGCCTCTAGTGATGCTACGACGTGTACCGGTTGTGTTGTCGAGGTTGCGAGGCGAGGCCGATGTTACAGCAGTAGCGCAGCAGGTCAAGGGCCTCAACAAAAACATACCGGTTCCTATTCATCATCGTCCGTGTGTCTGTGTATGTGATTATTACTTGCATCGACCGCGCTGACCAATGGAACGCCTGTGTGTATCTCTCTGTGTTGGGGTTCTGGCCGTGCTGCGCGCAGGCCGGTCGCTGACACTGCTATGCCCCGCCGAGGACGCCTACATCCCGTTCCTCGCCAATCGAAAGGTCCGTGTGTCTTCCGTGTGTAGATAAATTTATCGACGTTTTTTCCACGAGTTTGCAATTTTTCGACAATCTCCCATAGACGCTTCCTCGCCAATCGTAAGATCCGTGTGTCGCTGAGTTTGTAAAGTACCGACGTGCTGACGTACACACTTTCGATTGTCGAAAGGTCCGTATGTCTCCGAGTGTGTGAACTATCGTGTTGTCCTACTCACACTCTTGCCAGTCGAAAGTTTCCGTGTCTCTTTGAGTTTGTAATTTCTCGACGCTCTCCCATACGCGCTTCCAGGCACACTTACTCGCCAATGGAGAGGTCTGTGTGTCTCCGAGTTTGTAAACTATCAACGCGCTCGCATACACACTTCCTTGCCAATGGAAAGGTCCATGTGTTTGTACCCCATGCTTTGCCGCAGGTGCCTCTTCGAGAGATGGAGGCGTTTACCAGTGTGAACGCATCCGAGATTTTGGAAGAAGTTAAGGGTATGGTCAAGACTGACAGGGTGAGAGAGGATACATGAATATTCCTCGCATGTACAGAGAGAGGGCGAGAGCGATCACAGGCAGACAGACAGACGGCGGAGAGAGAAAGAGAGAAGGAGAGAGAGAGAGAAGAGAGAGAAAGACCAGACAGACAGACAGACCGAGAGACAGAGCGAGCAAGTCTCATGTGCACGCCTATATGACCGCCGGCGGAGTGCGGCCGTCCTTGGCGCTCGAGCCTTTGTTGTGCACCGCGTCCGCCGTATGAATCCGCCACACCCCGCCGCCAGTCTTAAAGGCTCACGCTTGAGACTTACACCCTCCAGTCTTGTGTGTCCCGCGTAGGAGCACAGTACGTGGCAGACGCTGTTCTTATTCGTGCAAATGAGCCACCGCTTTGCGGACGGTGTTCCTCTGACCCTTCGCAAGAAATTTGAGAGCCGCCGTGGTGAGGGATTGTAGCACTCTTTCGCGAGGTCCAGTTCTCTATTGGTCTGGCTTTTTTTGTGGCAAAGTGACGAAACTCAAACGATCGGAGATTAATCAAGAGAGTCGAGCTCTAGAGAGATCCATCTTCAATATCCGAGATTAATCACGAGATTAACGAGATATCGCGAGAGATCCATCTTCAATATCCGAGATTAATCTCGAGAGACGAGCTCTAGAGAGGGGTCCATCTGCAAGACCTGAGGTGAATAACAAGAGCAACGAGATTATAAAGAGATCCATCTACAAGATCCGAGAGATTAATCTCGAAAGACGAACTCTAGATAGATATCCATCTTGAAGATCCGAGAGTAATCTCGAGAGACGAGATCTCGAGAGAGAGATCCATCCTCTAACCAGAGTTACGCCGCAGGCAGGGTGGGTCCGCCTGTCCGCCTCCGCCGCCGCCGTCGGAAAATTCTAGTGAACGGCGTTGCTGACGTGTGTTCGTGGGCTGTTGGTCCAACAGCCCAGCCGTGTCGGGGGTTGTAAGGGAAAGGAAAATCGGGTACCTACCCCAGCGGGAAGGGGTGAGTACCGTAAGAGGCGGAGAGATGGCACTCCCCTTTTACCGAGTTTGAACTTTGAAAGCTCGATTGCTCTACAACCACGTGGGTGCTGAAAGAGCCCCGTCCGTCAACGGAAAACCTCGACATGTTTCCAAAGCCACCACTATTGTTGGTGGCCCCCAAGCTTGGTTGTCAAGCAATTGGACGTTGAAAATTTGTGTAGGGGGGTGCCATCTCTCCGCCTCTTTACGCTCGCCAGGATCGGGTGCACCCGGTGGAAAGAGGGTCAGGGTCGGGTAGGGGCGGCGTGTCGGCCAATCAGATGGCTGTTATGCGGTCGCTGCCAGTGGCGTAAAATACGGGTACAGTGCCCGGTTATGGTTCGCTTTCGGACCGGGTGTACCCGATTTTGGCCACAGGTACTTTTTCATGTCCCTTGTGGAACAACCACGTTTGTTGGGGTGTTGACTCGCGTTGCAGCACAAATCTTTATGCACTCTTCACCGTTACAGCAATGATGTTGCTGATATGGTATCACTTGTATGTATGTCGTTGGTGACATGATTGTCACACTCTCCACCTGTGCAGCAATGATATTGCTGCCATGGGTATCACTTGTTGTATGCATACCTTTAGTGACATGAACAACTTGCATTGTCTCACTCTTCACCGATACAACCATTATGCTGCTGTCATCGCTTGTATGTATGTCGTTGGTGAGATCATCGTCACACTCTCTCCACCGAGGCAGCAAGGATATCGCTGTAATGGATTTACCACTTGCACACACATACGGTACAGTTCTCCTCTGTTGTTGCTACGGCGGTATCCGTCCTTAATCCGGAGAGTAGCATCGCCTCCCCCATGACGCCCCCTCACGCGGTCCCAGGTCGTTGCGTTTAGACGCATTTTGTGTTTTCAACCGCAATGAGACTGACGTCTTTTCAATGGTCAGCCCGTTAACGCGGTCGATGCGTAGAATAAAAAGACACACGCACATGTATATCGTTGGTGACATGATCAGCGTGCATCGTTTATGACGTATGTTGCAAACAACGACGATAAAGGATGTGCTGGAAAAGGGAACCAAGGCCTTCATTTCGTTCGTCAGGGGCTACAAGGAGCACCAGTGCAGCTTCATATTCAGGTACTTTATTACGAGTTTTATATAACTCAGTTTGTTGGGTTAAACAGACTCAAAACAGAGGCTACAAAGAGCACCAGTGCAGCTTCATTTTTGAGGAAATTTTGTACGGCGAAGTTTATGGAACAAACATGGCGGCGCATACCACCTTTTTTTTATTTATACATGTTGTTCTGTCGCGTTTTTTTTTTTTTCGTTTTGTTCGTTTGTTGCACTTCCTATTGATTATCTGCTTTTTTTACACACGTTTTTGGATGAAGGCGTAGTTTTGCTCGGCGTTCCCACGGTCGAAGGGGATCTTTTGAAGTCTTGCAGTGAGTGCTAGGAAAAACGACTGGATGCCGGGCTTTTTTGCGTCTATCGAAGCTTCTTTTTCTTTTTTGTTTTTCCAGTTTTTTTTTAATTTTCTGTAGTACACCTTTGTTGGGGGAAGTTAGCCTGTGACGACGAGAATCGACCGCGTCAAGTGTTAGATTAGACTAGTACGGACAGATGAAGGCACTGGGAGAGATCGGAACGCTTTTTAATGTGAAGATAACAACAACAGGTTCAACGACCTCGACCTGGCCGCCGTAGCGCGTGCGTTCTGCCTCTTGCGGCTGCCCAAGATCGCGGAGCTGAGCAACCCGGCCGTGGCGGAGAGCTTCGAAAAGGAGAAGACGGTCGACTTCACGGCAATCAAGTGTGTTGAAGCTTCGATCGGCACAGCAGTCAGTGTACGGCCTTTTTATGCTGTTTCTTACCATGGTACAGCACAACAGTAGGAGATGGTACAACAGTAAGGGCTATGAGTGCTTTCTCTTTAAGTACATTGTAAATATGGTGCGGAAAGAAGGGATTTTTATGATTTTTTTAACAACAGCAGGAGAAAGTACAGCAGTAAGGGCTGTGAAGGAGGCTGTAGGGATTTTCATGATTTTTCATACACGACAACAACGAAACAAATTAATGTCTACCTTATCCAGACAATTGAGGACAGAGCACGAACAAAGCATTGAACTTTTCAAGGCAGACCACGATTATTGTACACTCCCTTGACAATGAGCAACAAGAACTTCAGCAAAGAGGAAACAAGGACGGCACATCTATCTGCCCAACCGTTTCCAGAACATACCACCGTAGTTGTGCCAGTGTTCGCACCATCCTTCCACCGGCTATCAAAGTTCGATTGCTCCGCAGCCGAGACGGCGGCGGTGCCCACAATGGTGGTTTTGGAAATGTCTCGCCTATCGCCCTTTGGTATTTGTGGATCAATCGAGCTTTTGGAGGTCTGTCTGCGGGGGCAGCGATCACTGGTACAGTCACAGTAGACCCGAACATAAAAACGTGGCTAAGGCCTCGCGAAGGCGAGAAAAAAGAGGTGAAGATGACCACGAACGATCGCGGACGCGAACGCTCTCACCCCAGGTACGCGGACAAGGCTCGCGAGAAGGCCAGGCAGAAGCAGCTTGTCCGCCAAGACGAGGAGAACAAGCAGGTGCGACGCTGCATTCACGCGCTCGAGCCACACATTGCAAGAAAGCGGACGTGTTGGTGGTGGTTGAAGTCATCGTCTCGATAACATTGAGAAAGCGTAAGTGTTGGTGGTGGTTGGACTCAGGCGTACTGTCCATCCCCACGAACAAAGAACCTTGAGCCTCACGCCATCGCCAAAACCGTTAAGACGCCCGTCTCATAACATGTTGTTTTTTCACGTGTGGCAGGAGTACCATAGGTTGCGTAAGATGCCACCCCCCCTGGACCACTTTTCAAAGCTGGATTGCTCCACGACGAAGAGAATACCACATCAAATGATGATTGCCAGCATCAATTGATGATGCGTTTTCGGGAAAGCCTCCACGGGACGATCCCGACGCCGCTATGTGTCGGCACCACCGTTGATTTTGCTGCTAAGTAGTTGGGTTTGAAAAATGGTCCATCGTTGCAACCTGCTGTAAGTTTTTCGTCTCTCGAACCACACGCTGCTTTTGCCCTTTACCATAAATGGTATAACCAATGTACCGAAACGTGAGCACAAGTTTTTCCCTTGCAAGTTCAGTTTGTTAGGAGACCAAATGAAACAGAGAGAGAGGCAGCAGAGAGAAAAAGTACCAAAGGGTGAACACAACCATCACGTTTTTTTCTGTTGTCCTTTTTTGTTTGGTCATCCCATCATCCTTTTACGAAGTCATTTGTTGTAGAAATTAATAAAGAAGGGAGAGTGTCACTCTGCCTCTTTTGGTGGTACTGTTGTCATTGCCCTGCCAGTGGGAGGGATACCCACGGCAGTCCAACTACCACACACCACAACCTTTCCATATGAAGACACCCTACTACAAACTCGAGATATCAACCGTACCGAAACGTGAAAAACGTGAACACTTTTTTTTTTTTTCAGCGCGCGATCGAGGAGGAGGAAGAGGCCCGTCGAGCAGAAAAAGAGCTCGCCGCGGGCGGCGGAAAAAATAACGCCTCCGGCAAGGAAGAGGGCGGCAAGAGGAAACGCAAGGGTCGGCATCAGCAGCTCCTTGAGGAGTGGGACGACTTGGCCAACGAGGAACGACTGTGAGTGCTTGGTTCCTTCTGCGTGCGTGTAAAAATATGAGGATTGCGATGATTTGGCCAACGAGGTGCTTGGTTGGTTCCTCCTGCATGTATACTGCAGCTCCCATAGTAACATTCAGACACCTTGGTTTTTCCAACCACGTACTACTACCTGGAGTTGAAGATCGTCCATCTGAAAGATCGGTGGTACCGAATGGAGAGGGAGAGCTGTGTCACAGAGTGTGTGCGTGAGGCGAGGAGTGAAGTTGGTGTGTCCAAGTGTCCAAGCGTCGAAAGAAGGAGTGCAACAAGCATGCCGTCCGTACTACAGGACGGTGGTGACCCCGGTATAGCGACCCCTGGTGGCAGTAGTGAAGGAATATGGTCACTATTCAGGACAAGTCGCTTTTAATGCCACCATTAGTGGACCGCCTTCGCGAGAAATTCAGTATTATAAGGAAATAGAACAGGGAGGGGGTACGCAGACCCTATTTCTAACCCTAACCCTAACCCCAACTCCCCGATTGTATGCATCATCCAACATGTTTACTTAGTCGAAAAAACGTGCGAAGGGGTACTGCTGTTAGTCTAGTCGGGGTGCTCCCGCGCGATTTATGGTCGCTGTGCATGGCATGTCGCTAAACCGGGCCAACCACTGCGTCTAGCTCCACGGGTGCGCTTGTTCGTATTTTCAGTGTACCTTTTGCTTGTGTCCTGTTTTCAGTGTGCCTTTTCGTTTGTTTCCTGTTTTCAATGTACCTTTTGCTTGTGTCCTGTTTTCAGTGTACCTTTTGCTTGTTTCCTGTTTTCAGTGTACCTTTGGCTTGTTTCCTGCGTACGGGGCCCGGGAAGGGGGGGAGGGGTTGCAAAGTGAGTGCTAGTGAGAAGTGCGTGTATGTTGTTCGAAGTGTCTCTATATAGTTGGTATCGACTTATTCAGCCAGTGTTCATGCACCGAGATAGATAACACGCTAGATAACACGCTATCCCCCGTCCCCCCCAGGTACAAAAAGCTCAGGAACAAGAAGTTGACACGCGAAGAGTACGACCATGAGCTCCGAAAACATTCGGGAAAGAACGCCTTTGGCGAGGAGGAGGAGGAGGAGGAGGACGCCGCTGCTGCTAACGCTAGCAGCGACGACGACGACGACGACAGCGGCGGCAAGCACGCCGGCGGCGGCAGCGGTAGCAGTACCCCGGCCTCGTCTAGCCGGGGGGCGACGGGGAAGTGGAAGGGCGCGACGGGGGCCCCGTGCCCGAAGCAGCGGACGTGGGGTACGGGGGGGGGCGCAAAGAGCGGCGGCCGCGGGGCGAGAGGGAGGGGCAGAGGGAGGGGCAGAGGTCGGGGGGGTAGGGGGAACAGCCGTGGGGAGGGACGAGGGGGGCGGTAGACCGGGACGTTAGGTGCCGTAGTATCGGATGTGGATGTTTTGTCGTGACGATGAAGGATTGCCAGCTGCGCACGTGTGGCGTCGGTTGTTTTTGCCTCTTCCCGAACCCGTTTTGTGGTGTCATGGTTGCTGCTCTTGTCGGAGGCCGTACTGTGCGTTGCCGCTGTTTGGGGTTGCTTTCTTATACTTGCGTAATTGGTGTGAAAGGAGAAAGGTTAGGGACGGAGGAAGGACAAACAGCAGTGTTGACCCCGCCCCCATCCCCATTCCTCTATCGTTGTGGTCACCTCTTCGTCCGGGTAGATTATTGATTCTTCGCTCGGGGTCCGTTTTCTTTGTTGTTCGCGGCGTAACCTGTGATCTCTCATGTGTTTTAGTGCTTTGCATCGACCGCGATATGCAGAGAGAACGGAACGGTTTTTAATGTGAAGATAACAACAACAACATCGACCGCGATAATCAGCTGACCAATGAGAATTCGTCAGACTCGGTGCGATTGAAAACACAAAATGCTTCTTACATGCCATGATCTGGGAGCCCTCGTGTGTGTGGAGGGGGGGATTGGGATGGAATTGCCTTGGAAACCTTGGAGGCGTTGTGTACCATCCATCGTGGTGGGTGGGGGTATCAGGTTGGGATACAGCACTTGAAATACATGGGGTAAACACGGCTGCTGTTTGGTGTGTGTGTCCTATTTGACGGCAAGGTGGGGTTGTTTATTCGTGGCCCAAATAACGCTGAGGGACCCAGGGGGCGGGGATGCCTCGTTTTCGCCTCCAGGACAGGAGGAGAACAGCTTTCAGAGCAAAGGTTGGGCCGGACCCACGCATGGCGGGTGGGTCGGCGCCGCAAGACACCACCTCAGTCGAGTTGTCGATCGGATGTTTGTCAACTTTTGTTTTCTTGTAATCCCTTTTCTCCTTGACGTCGGGGACCTTTACAGCTTTCTTTCGGCAAACTTGCACGGAATAACGATTATAGTAACCAATGATGATGCAAGACTTGTTACATGTAGGAGCCATGGACTGGGATACGTGGGAAATAGCAGTGCTGCTGTGGGTGGATCATGACGTCGACACCAAGCAGGGATGATGCTGGAGCAACTAACAGAGATGCGGGCACAGGGGGGAGGCCAAAACGGAAGAGTAAGAGTCGATTTTGGGAAGGCCGAACTTTTTTCCCCCCTCTTCTTCGCACGCGGTGGTCAGCACCACCTTCTGGTCGCACGCGCTGCACATTTCACACACTTGCGCCTGCCTGTTGTGTCCAGCTGGTCGATATATAGTCAATTCTTGTTGTGGTGGGTGTGCGCTGCTCTCATTGACCGTGCGTGCTGCCGGTGACGTGCATCAAGGTTGTTGTACATATCGACTTACTGAGTCTGTTTGAGCCTTGTTAGCGCACTCCACCGTGTGCAACGAGCGATTTCTTCCTAGCCCTCCTGAACGTGTCATCATCCATGCACGCACATGGCTATCCAAAGCACACTCCGTTCCGGGTTACAGGTCTTTTTACGTGAAGAGGGATTTGGAGCGTTTCATACATGGATGGCTGATTTTTCCAATTTTTCTACTTGCAAAATGGAAAACTTAAGTGTGTCCCAAAAATAAATATGGAAGCGGGAGTAGATTCCAGAAGAAATTGGAAACGAGGTTTCCAATCTTTTTCCTTCGAAGTTGCTTCGCACAAAGTTCTCTGATTTGGAAACGTGTTAAAACTTGGGGAAAAACACCTTGGAACGCCTCCTCTTAGTACGCTCGCTGCTGGTACTACGTACTACTGACGACGAATCACCAATTTGATGGAAATCCCAGGAGTTTGATAGTAGAATCGGAATCAAGCTTTAGACTATTAAATAGTCAGCACTGGTTAGTCTAACGTCTTGATTTTGGATGCTATAAAAGTTGTCGTGGGGTTCGATGACATCACTTCCGCTCCCCTCGCCAGAGCGCAGCAAGTTCCACAAGGTGGACCCCCGCCGCACTGGAGTGAAGTTCACAAAAAACCGCCTCCTGCGGCCTTGTTGGTATGTATGTAACCCCATCCACAATCTACCGCTTCTTCCTCAGCGATGACCGCGCCTTGTGCCCGGCGAGGAAACACCAACACGTGCGGCGCCCCTCCCCCCACAACAGCAGTCAAGTAATCAGTTATTGTTGCTACGCATGTTATAAGAGCCCCGGCCTCAACTCAAGTCTCATTTATTTTGGCTAATCAATTTTCTTATTTGTTTTACGCAGGCAGGGAGCCCACGAGAGGTAGGTTCTGGTGGGGGTGCCGTAGCGGCCATCGTGTCTAGTCTGTTCTCAGGGAGACTTTCAACACGACGACACGATTGGTTTCACTCTGAGGAATATGAAATCGAACGGGTTTCTTTTCCCGAAAAACGTTTGGACTCCGGGGTCTCCTGGCTTCACCAGGAAAATAATCATCAGTTATTTTACCGCACAGGGTGCTTCGTATATCGTGTCTTACCGATCCGAGTCTCAATCTTCGGAATACACATTATTATTACATACCGAACCCGCAGAATATAGAAGTACGAAGAAAAAAGTGTTTCGCGCAGTCCAGTACACACGGCCACAAAAAAGCGGAAATGATGCCTGCCTGCATCCTCCTACCTTGTCCCGTGTTTACCCGCAACACGGAGCAACCAAACACGCTTATTCGCTCCGCCAAGCCAGTACGTTGAAAACAGCCAACGGCAACCCGGCTGACTCTAGCGGTCCCTGCGGTGATATATACATATATGTATTCCACCCTTCCCGTGGACCTAAAACTTCTAAAAGTCTTAAGCCACCAAGCAAACCTGTTCTCCAAGAAAAAACTTTATTTTCTCGTCGCGCGGTAACTGACCCCCCGGGGCGGGGCGTTCGTTCCTCGCGGAGTTACAAACAAATATCTTACTTATCGCAGCAACGAGCCAAGGCGATTTCGCAGTAGCACCACTAACAACATCAAATACGACAACACGAAACTGCAACACGGCACTACCGCCCACGATGCTCCCGGCGACCATCACAAGTGGAACTTACGACGTACGTACGTACTACGTCCCTGTCTTCAGCCTGAAGAAGCAGGTTATCAACAAGAGTAGTAGCAGGCTCCGAAGCGCACAAGCATAAACATGACAAGGACAAAGAGGGGGGTGGGGGGGGTATGTCTACACGACACCACGATTAAGAAATGCTTGATATGCGAGGTAGGCTTCATGTCTCATGCTGTTGTACGCAACACACACGTGTGATGATGCCGCCTGCAACATACAAGATTCATCCGATCCGAAATGGGTCCCTGTCAAGAAGAAAAATGGTGCCGCTGATCC